CACAAAAAAAAAAAAAAAAAAACAGAGTTCGAAGTTTCCATATTCGGTAAAACTACATGTTTCTACGAACCAGAATTGCAGTTCAAGAGAGTGGTGGGATTATTATACCATCACATATTCATTAATTGGATATCAAAAGTTTCTTAAGGCATTATGGCTTATTTACCTTGTAGTTGTATGTCCGAATTTTTTCTGACCGAGCACCAGTACCTACCTGTCATTGTAAATGTAAACAGTCTAATCAGGAAAATTGACAAGATGTCCTCGTCCTTCTTAATCTAATACAAGAATTAGGAGATCATAAGGCTTAAAACTGACCGTGTCAAAAATGTTGTATCAACTTGTTTATGTTACATTACCCCAGGACTACTTATCTTTCACAGACATTACCATATCAATATGAAAAAGGTTTGCAGTAGTGAAGGTATATATATTAGACGATCAGCAAGTAGATATACATAAGCTACTTGCACTTGAACATATAGGTATGATCCGTATGGATATCATTTCAGATAAGATCATTCAACAGATAAACTTAAAATGTCATCAGCATGTTGATTTGATTTCATCCCTTCCTACTGCATTATGGTTATGCGAGTTCAATGATTTGAAGGCTTGGTCATCTTACCTGTAATTTTCTCTGGTTTCTTATCGATTCCTGCTGCTCCCTTAACTTAATCTCATACCTGGAAGAATATCACAAGTCTTATTCCGCGCAGATATAATAGTAATTGCATAAAGTCAAGAACATAGTAAATATACATAAATATCACCTTGTGTTAGTGTAAGCATACATGGGAGTGAAATAACAAGAATGGGCCAATGTATAAAGATGATGTGTATATAGAAGGATATAGACTGTTCGTGGCTCTTCAGCCTAGACAGTTATTCCGATGAATCTTTGGACCCACGAGATTTTGCTTTTACTTCACTAGCAAATAATGCATGTCTGAAACTAATGAAGAATATCCATATTTCCTTGCGAGTAAGACTATATAGAGATTCAATATGCATATGACCATCATAGAAATTGTAAAATGGTGGAGATCAACCAAAAAAGGGATAACACAGAGGTTTCATCAGCTCTTGGACAATCTTCTACCAGTGCTTGTCTTGATTGATCGCGTGCTTGTCTTGATTGATCGCTGACTCTATCAGTCAGTGACCAAAATTTTGATGACACATAGCCTTGTGGACTTCCAGAAAAGCGATTAAAGTGTCAAACCATATGATTTGTAAAGAAAGTAGTCGCATAATAGTATAAAACACACGATAATGATAATAGACCTTTATCGCCCATCTGAAACTTTGTTGATCCACAACACTATATAAATGCGTGTTTTTGCTATGCATGGAAGACTTAGAAGTTACCCTATGTCAAGAGTATGAAACAAAAAACCTGGAGCAGCTATGTGCTTAATATTGTCATAGAACATAGCAAAACACTATCAGATTCTTCCTTAATCGTGCAGGTTTCATTTGTTCATACTGTTATACATGACAAAGTTATCTAGATATTAAAAACATATCTGACACAGGCAGTCAGTTAAAGTTGTAATTTCACTCTTAAACTAGCAAGACTAGCAAACAAACCATTCCGCAGAGTTGGAAGTACAGATCCAGACATAGCGGGCAGCTCAAACACCAGAACCTTTCTTTATAGGATCTATAAAGCAGTACTTCATGTTCATATCAGAAGTAAGTCATTTTCTTAGACAAACCTATCTACTTGCTTTCAGTGGAGGTCAACTACATAAGCAAGGGCCTCTCACCTAATCCATATGACTAATTTCATCTAGATCTCAGTTGAGAAATTCTGTTTTGTAATCTTTTATCTTTTAAATAATATAGTTCAGTAACTCCATAAAGCAAAAACCCGATATGTGAATTGCTGTTCCTCACAATTTGGCTCTCAGTAGTTGGAAAGCACGATTCTTGTTTTTAAGCTGACTCCTTTCTTCAGTACAAAATATTCTAATTCCCGTTGGTTTATGGTAAAGATCAACTGCAGTCTCCACCTTGTTAACATTCTGCCCTGCATAGCATAATCATGTGTCAAGATAAACATGCTGTCAATAAGTACAAGAAAAGTTCATGTTTAGGGAAAAATGAATCATCATATACCTCCAGCACCACCAGAACGTGCTGTTGTTAGTTCTACATCCTTTGGATCGATTTCCACATCAACTTCATCAGCCTGAAACCAGATAATATATCAAGGATGAAATAAAAAGCAACAACAGCAGACACAACAGGGACCTCAAAAGACCTAGATATACTTGGGGAAAAAGAATAGAAAAAATCATAATGAAAACACTGGTTAAAAATGGAAGTTCGGTGATCGACAACAACTCGGCCATACATGGCAATATAAATGATGCAGCAATCTATGTGATCGCTACAACATCTGGGGATGAACTTGCTGATAATACATTAACATAAAAAAGATGACCATATCAAGCTAGACTAGATAGCAGAGCTGCAGAGATTTCTTAGTGAACTTGCGAATAGCTAACCTCTGGCATGATAGCAACTGTTGCAGTGGAAGTGTGAACACGGCCTTGAGTTTCTGTTTGCGGTACACGTTGAACTCGATGAACACCAGATTCATATTTCAATTTACTATAGACACGCTTGCCTTTGATCTCCATCACATATGTTTTAAATCCTCCTTTTTCAGCCTTGACAAAAGATATTGTTAAATAGGTCAGCAAAGGAAACTATTTCCTAATGAAAACATAGTTGTCAATTACAATTTAGTACATATTTACCTCGGAGCATGAGATCGGAGCAAACTTCCAAGAGTTCCGTTCGCTGTACTTCTCATACATACGCACCTAAATGATGTCAAAGCGAAGAAGAAATAAGTGTGCCATGCGATGAGATCTGAGTTCTTCATTTCACTATACGGGAAAAGCAAATTACCACGTTTTTCAGAGCGGTGGATGGAATAACACTGTAAAGACTCTAGCTTAACAACTTAAACTTTTCTACATCTAGAAGTGAATCTGGATAGGGAACATCCATGTTCTTTCTTAGCTATCAGCAAGCTATTGCACTTTGGACCCGTAAAGGCCATATGTCATAAGGCAACATTGTCTATCTAACGCATGTCAATGTTACAAGTAACAAGAGTTGAATGACCAGATATATTAAAATCCTCTTCTTTTTTTCCTTCATTTATTTTGCAATATTTGAAAAAGTATCGCAACCATATAGTAGAATTTAGAAGGACTAAGGGAACATGTACCTACAAGATCACCAGCCCAAATTCCAGCCTCATCCCCACCAGCACCTGCCCTGACTGCAAGACAGAAGAGTTAAGCTCCTATACCCAAAATTAAAGCTTTTTGTGAAAAATTTACTTAACTAAACAGTTAGGAGGGAGAGAATTAAAAATTAAACAGCATACAGCGCACGCACATCACGTGCCGGTTAACCCTTAAATTTCAATATTTGTAGCTACTGATGCACTAGAACCTAAAGAGGTCAATCAAGCCACATCCAAGGATAGAAGTTGGACAGTTTTTAGAGGACTTGCAAACAACCAGATTCTACCAATGAGTTGTACTTGATTTCATCAATCCTACAAGAGTAATAATGTGAAACTCAATGTGGCCATTTAAAGGGATACATGCAAATAGCAAGTATTCCCATTCATGGTTCAATCGACTTACTTGCACCCCCCCCCCCCCCCAAGTCATGGTTCAATTGACTTACTTGCCATTTTATTCCGTCCCAAAAATATGAAGCTATCTCCTATAATGGAAAAGTTTTTACTCGAGCAATCTAAGCAAACATAAGATAGGACTAAAATTTATATCAGCTCAAATTTGATGTGAAAATCTTTCAATTAACTTTGTCACTTTTTCACATTTGAAAAACTTTACTGTTATTAATTTTAGCACGATGGCGTTAAGAGTCTGTAACCTTATATTTTGTTTCACTTCCAAATATCTCAAGAAAGCCTCATGGTTTCAACATCTGTTCATTTAAGTTCCCAATAAATATTCGACTTAGTTATCATCTGGATCACTTTTTTTATTTTGAGAAGGTAAAGTAGTTATCATCTGGATCACTTATACTAGCAAATAATTTTAATTGTTGCTTGGAGTTTGTATACGGTCAAAATCGGGCTTGCCTAATTTTGTATGGCTGATCGAAATCGGGGGGTAGATCAAGGCTCAGCCTCGGTTATATCGGACCATGGTACAGATATGGATTGGTAATCTCGTGGATCAATGGCCGATCAAGATCGAGACGGAAATAGGAAAGAGATCGAACGAGATCGAAGGAAGCATGCCAGGCCGGATAACAGAAAGCCGAGATATCCGCGATCGGGCAAGGATCGTGGCAGAAATCTCGGCACGTATCAAGTCAGGACCGGTTATTTAGCCCATCATGGGATTTACTTCCGTAATTAGAATTATACCATAAATAGGATTCCTCTACTATATAAAGAGGGCCCTAATCATCTTGTAAGCACCTCACATTCATACAGATCAAAGTAATATAATATTCTCTCTTTAACTCACACTCTTTTTTTTTTTTTTTTTTTTTTGATAAGGTAAAGATTTCATAAATAAGTACCAAGAAGCTATGTTGCGCGGACTCTCCAAAATGTAGCCGCACCCGTGTCGGATCCTTCAAAAATGCACTACTTTTGGAGGATCCGACACTTATCCGGCCACATTTTCGGAGAGTCCGAGCAACATAGGCCAAGATGGTACACAAAATTACAAGAAAGAAGGCTCCAGAATAGCCTGTTACAATAACTTTCCAAGCATCTCAATAAAGTCTAAATATTGATCTACATTCTCCAAAATACTGCTCTTACACCAGAAATACAAATTATGCAGACAATTGCTCTTAATTCTAGAGATATGTCTTCCTTGTCCTTCAAAGCATCGCTTGTTTCTTCCGGCCATAAAGTCCAAAAGATGCATAGAGGAATGGTTTTCCAAAATTGCTTCTGTCTTTTAGCTATTCTTTGACTCTGCCAGCTCTCCAGCAAACTCCTAACATTGTGGGGCATTACCCAGGATACTCCACAGATATTCAAGAAAAGATCCCAACACTGCCTTGAGATTTCACAATGCAAAAGAAGATGATTTGTAGTTTCCTGGTCTCTTTCACATAGATAACATCTATTACTTAGTGCAAAGCCTCTTTTCTGCAGGTTATCTTGGGTCAAACAGGCTCCCATAGTAGCAATCCACCCGAAACATGCCACCTTTACAGGTGCTTTAGTCTTCCAGAGTATCTTCCATGGGCAATCAGATTCCCAATGTCCTATCTGCTGTTGTAGTAAATTGTAACAACTCTTGACTGAGAACTTCTTATCCCTACTTGCAATCAAAATCAACGAATCCCTCTTGTTTTCTTCCACAGCAACAACATCCAATTGCTGTAATAACTGACATATGTCATCCATCTCCCAATCATTTAGACCTCTTCTGCAATTAATTTGCCAACCAGTAGTAGAGTAAAATTCTGCAACAGTTCCCTTTTTGTCAGTTGAGCAACTGGATAACGTTGGAAACTTGGAGCTCAAACATTCACTTCCCAACCATATATCAGTCCAAAACTTTATTCTACACCCATTACCCACTTCCAAACCTTGTATAGCTGTGAAAATCTTCCCACAACTGGCAGATGCTTCCCCAGACACTTCCTTTTGTGGATCCGTTCTTTTGTTTATGAACTTGCTGCTCTTTAATTGTTCTTGCTTTACCAAGCTCGAGGGTTCATTAGCTTGAGGGCATTGATCAAACGCTGGTTTGCTTTGTATTATTGTCAATTTGCATCACTTATCTTTACTTTTATCAATCGATATTAAGTGAAATCACGTATCCTTAAAACCACATTATAAGTTTAATTGTTACTCAATTTTTTGAATAAACAGTTTGGCGCCTACAGTGGGGCTAAGGATAAGAGTGATTGCTTAATATTAACCTTCATAACACACACTGCTTTTACACTTGTACTCGTAAGTGTTTTTGATTTCAGGAATCAACATGTCAAACTCTCAAGCAGTACCCACTCACACTGATACCAGCCTTGGTCTTCATGGCGGAAACGAACATGTAGTCGCCCCGGGAAACAGAGTGCCTCCAATCAATCCCGACACACCACGGGCCGTAGATCCGGTTAACGTCAATTCTCGCGTCGCCATTCGTGGAGATTTAGGCGCCGACCCTGAGAATAGCGTCCGCAGAGACGCCCGGGCAGCCGATCAGCACGCACAAAATGGTGAAGAAGGCGAAATTAGCCTACGAATGATATTTGACATGCTACAAACTCAGCAGGCCGCGATAGCGCAACTCCAAAATTAGAATCGAGCCCCAAGTAGAATCGAACTCCGATACATCACAGGAAGTTGCTCATAGGGTCGAACCCGTACAGGAGAAATTGAACGATAATGGATCGGGAACTGATCCCGCCATCATGAAGATGCTCGAGGAGCTCACTAAACGGATCGAACCGAGAGAAAAGAAGATCGAGGCTAATGATAAAAAGGTAGAAATGTACAACTCCCGGGTTGATCAAATACCGGGGACACCCCCGATTCTAAAGGGTTTGGATTCGAAAAAGTTCGTACAGAAGCCTTTCCTACCAAGTGCGGCTCCGAAACCAATCCCCAAGAAGTTCCGTATGCCCGAGATTCCCAAGTATAACGGGACGACCGATCCGAATGATCACGTCACCTCGTATACGTGCGGCATCAAAGGAAACGACTTGGAAGATGACGAAATTGAATCAGTACTGCTGAAGAAATTCGGGGAGACTTTATCAAAGGGCGCCTTAATATGGTATCATAACTTACCCCCTAATTCTATTGATTCGTTTGCTATGCTTGCAGATTCTTTTGTAAAGGCACACGCCGGAGCCATTAAAATTGCAACGAGGAAGTCGGACCTCGGAATTCGTATCTCGGTTCCAAGCGAAGAGAATGGATTTGCCTCCGGTCACCGATGACTGGGCTGCTCAAGCTTTCACTCTAGGTCTCAACACTCGGAGATCCATAGCTTCACAGTAGTTGAAGCAAAGTTTAATCGAGTACCCGACTGTCACTTTGGCCGACATACATAATCGATATCAGTCGAAGATCAGGGTCGAGGATGACCAACTGGGGACTCATTTGGGGTCCGTTTATCCTAGCAGGCCCATGGATAGGATCAAAAGGGACATCGGTCGAGAGCTAAGGTCGAATAAAGATCGATATCAACCGTACAACGGAGATCGTAGAGGCAGCGCGGGTCACCGCGAAGCTTCGCACGAAATGAGAGGAGAAATGATCGAGGTCAAAATTCACGGGGGCTTGATGCCGTCACGTTAAATATCCAAAATCCGAATAAAGGTACGACCCCATTCTAATCCTTTCTATTTTTTCGACTTACACTTGCAGGATATCGACAAAGATCGGCACGAAGCTTTGGATCTTAAAGCACGCGTTGCACTCTTTTTTCCTTAGACCGGTTTTTGTCCCAAATGGGTTTTTCCGGCGAAGTTTTTAACGAGACAACCATTGTTCGTGCTAACTTAGAGTATTTCAATAGTATCCGAGGTTCCCTACAATAAGCCTCGAGTTGCCCCCGAATGTCTACTTTGTTGCAAGGAAATTACTTCATGACAGCGGGGTCTCGATAGAAAAATGTTGTAAGGGTCAAACGGTCAGATGAACCGTGCCCATATAGGTTACTCGAGCCCTAACATCAAATATGCGCGCATGTATAATCATCTATTGGGAGAAGTATTTTTTCCTTGCCGATATCTCATGCCTTTAGAAAAATTTCCTACTTCATACTCTTGATCTATTGTGTAAACAGGCTTAAAGGCCGATCATGACAGAAGTTCGAACAACTAACCCCACTCTTGAGGACTGCTGTCCGAAAAACAAACGAAATTGAGCTACTAAAATTTCGAGACCATAAGACCTTAAAGGCGACCCTCGATTTTACAGGCCGCGGCCACCCCACTCGGGGACTGACACTTCGGGCAAGCTCGAGGTGAAACGGAAAATAAGCCCAAAAGGCAAGTTCCAAACGAAAGAGGCTACGGCCAAATTAATGCGGATCAGAGACGTCTGAAATCTGTAACAAATACAAAGGCCTAAGGGCTACCTCTACTTCGAGTTCGAGCAAGTACTCACTCGATCATAAAAGCGCAAGGGCTATCTTAACCCGAGTTCGAGCAAACTCTCACTCGGGGACTATCTATGAAGTCTAAGGGCTAACTTTACTTCGAGTTCAAGCAAATCCTCACTCGACTATAAAGCCTAAGGGCTAACTTCACTTCGAGTTCGAGCAAGTCCTCGCTAGATCATAAAAGCCCAAGGGCTATCTTAACCCGAGTTCGAGCAAACTCTCACTCGGGGACTATCTATAAAGCCTAAGAGCTAACTTTACTTCGAGTTCGAGCAAATCCTCACTCGATCATAAAAGCCCAAGGGCTATGTTAACCCGAGTTCGAGCAAATCCCCACTCGACTATAAAGCCTAAGGGCTAACTTCACTTCGAGTTCGAGCAAGTCCTCACTCGATCATAAAAGCCCAAGGGCTATCTTAACCCGAGTTCGAGCAAACTCTCACTCGGGGACTATCTATAAAGCCTAAGTCTAACTTTACTTCGAGCCACTCGACTATAAAACCTAAGGGCTAACTTTACTTCGAGTTCGAGCAAATCCTCACTCGACTTTTAAGCCTAAAAGCTACTCAAACTCTAGTTCAAATGGTCATTCAGGATCCATCAATCTCGGTTGAAAGAACAAAGCCTCGAGCATGGATTTCTTCAAAGGTCTCCCTCCGAGACCGACACTTGGTGCGCTCCTTAGCCCGAACCTGAGTGGTTTCCTTTTCCGGAACAATTTTACATGTTTTGGCCATTTTTGTTTTCGTAAGCAAGGAAGAATAAAGATTGGAATATTTGGTATTTCAGGAAGAACAAGCAAAAAAACTCAAAGACTCAATTCGTTTCTTGTCATTACACTCCAAAAAACGAGGGGACTATCTGTATACGGTCAAAACCGAGGTTGCCTAATTTTGTATGGCTGACCGAAATCGGGGTGGTAGATCAAGGCTCGGCCTCAGTTATATCGAACCATGGTACATGGATTGGTAATCTCGTGGATCAATGGCCAATCAAGATCGAGACCGAAACAGGAAAGAGATCGAACGAGATCGAAGGAAGCATGCCAGGTCGGATAACAGAAAGCCGAGATATCCGCGATCAGGCAAGGATCGTGGCGGAAATCTTGGCACGTATCAAGTCAGGACCAGTTATTTAGCCCATCATGGGATTTACTTCCGTAATTAGAATTATACCATAAATAGGATTCCTCTACTATATAAAGAGGGCCCTAATTATCTTGTAAGCACCTCACATTCAAACAGATCAAAGCAATATAATTTTCTCTCTTTAACTCACGTTCTTTTGTTTATGAACTTGCTGCTCTTTAACTGTTCTTGCTTTACCAAGCTCGAGGGTTCATTAGCTCGAGGGCATTGATCAAACGCTGGTTTGATTTGTATTATTGTCAATTTGCATCACTTATCTTTACGTTTATCAATCGATATTAAGTGAAATCACGTATCCTTAAAACCACATTATAAGTTTAATTGTTTCTCAATTTTTAGGGTAAACAGAGTTCATGAATCTGAAACTAAGACGCAGAGCAGAAAACTCTACCCAATCAAGACAAAGGCAAAGTAAAAGAATAACATACCTTCAAGCATTATATTCCTAGAATCAAGAGGGTCACTTGGAAGGAGCATTAGCTGCCATCATGAGAAATATCAACATAAATCCCCCAAAAATGCGTCGAAGTGAACACAAGAATTATCTGGGAACTGAAATAAGGAAGGAAAATATAAATACTTTAAAGGAAGAACCGTAATAACCTTAAACTTCTCCTCTAGGTCTTTGATTTGCTCTGTCAAGGAATGAATTTCAGAAGCTACCATCTCCGCCATGTCCTCGTCGGCTCCAGCGTCTTTAGCTAAAGCTGACAGGAATAGAAGAGGCCGTCAGATATATGCATAAACTACTAGAAACAGCACCAGTCTAATCAAAGTATGGAGGGAGAATGAGTAAATGGTATAAAAATGCTTTGGCTTCTGAAAAACACAAAAGTGGATGATAACCTTTTGCTTCTTCCAGTTGCTTCTCACAATCCTTGAATTTCCTGTATGTCAACACGACCTAGCTCAAAAAACAGACAACAAAAGTGTGAACAAAAAAAAGAGTGCCATTAGTATCGGATCAACGCAAGAAAAGGAGATAAAATGACAGTTAAGTAAGGTACTTCGTCTAGCTCTGCCATTGACTGTGCCAACTTCTGATATTCACTTGGATTTGAGACAACATCCGGATCAGCAAGCTTAACCTGAAAGTGATTCACTAGTTTTAAATGTAATTCCTGGGCATTCCTCATTATAAAGGAAAGTAGGAGAAATTTGACCAGAATCTATTCTTTGTACTTAATGGGTTTTTTAAACATATATCTAGGGTCCAGGGTCTAAGATAAAGCTACTGGGTTCGATGAACCGCTAACTAATTCACTAGATCCACCCCTGAATTTGAGCACACTTTTAATAGGCTTAGACTTTGAACCAGCCAAATAAGAGACCTATCCCAAATTGCATGTTGCAAAAAGATCTCACCATTACTTCCTGTCATAACTGCTTGCGTAAATTAAAATATGTATTCAAATAATACCGAAACTGTCTTTAAATGCAAACTTAAGGTCCAGGTCACTCGTCTAATTCATTAACAAAACCTTTACTAACCATGTTATAGTCAGACTGAGCGTAAGTCTTCCAAACGCCTACATATTCGATAAAACATTCACTCACATGAATAAATTAATAACACCATACTACAAAGTTTATTGAATTAAATAATTGGTCTAAAACCAGTTTTTCCATCCATGTCCAAAAAGCATAAAGAGATTCAGAAAGAAGCATACCGACAATTCTTTCCACGTTTTCTCAGCTGAATCAAGTTTTGTAATTAGATAAGGTTCCTGCAATATACAAATTGATTACATAAGAAAAGGTCAAAACAGCAATTTCCGATTACTAGGTTTACTCACTAAAAATGAATTCTTAAATTCGGATATAGCATTCACTGTATTACTGGTTATCGAAAATTTAGGAAATTTTCTTTTGTTCTTCGTTTTTCGCTCTTCATCCTAATTCTTCAAATTATGCTTATCTTCGCATTCAAGTTTTACGTAGTTGTATTCATTTTCTCGACTATCAGAGAGAGATATTCCTAAAATTGTACGGACCGCCATGCAGACTATTCTTCTAGAAGGAGTGTGATTCGACGGAGCTCGAACGAAAGCGGATCCTCCACCGGAAAATCCAAAGCAACGGCGTCTTATTGGCCATTGAATCGAAGATGTAGCGGAGATTCCGGCAGCAAAGCCAGTGTTAGCTATAGTATTCATGCTCTTTAACTCCGACGTATGTGGTTCTGTGCAAGTCTGCAAAATTGAATGGATAACAGGTTGTGTATTTACGAGAGAGAACCGGGAATATAACGAGGGGGAAGGAAATGGAAATTGAACATTTGGACATGTACTCACTTCTAGTAACAAGCCCGAAGCCCGAGTTTGGAAATTGTGGATATGGGCTCAAAGATGAACAACCTATGTCGATCCATGTGCCACGTCAAGTTATCCAAATTTGAGAGATTATTTAGCTAGCGTTTGGCCATAGATCGCAAATTTGTTTTGAAAAATTTAATTTGGGTGAAGTTTGATTTGAAGATGAAAATTTGTTTGGACATACGTTTTCAAAACATATTTTCCAACTTTATTTTGGAAAAATAGGTATATAATTCCCTAGTTTTGGGATTTTGGGATTTTGGGATTTGGGATTTGGCCAAAATATGGGCAAAATTTATGGTCAAACATGAGTTTTGAAAATAAATCCCAAATTTATTTTGGCAAAACTCATGGCCAAACGAAGCCTTAGAATTTAAACTCAATTTATTCGGGTTATTAGCGAACTAAATAAGCAATTGAAACTATGAGTTCACAAATTAGTATTAGTTGAAATTATACTGAAGTTCACTTATATATTTATATTACGTACCCAAAATACTAAATTCGGTAAAACTCGTAAGAGCTATGTTATATTTAGGGAAATTACCAGCTATGTCCATTTATAAGTAGCTCATTACAAAAATTGGCCAATAGATAAAATATTACTAATATTAGCCAAATTAGCCAATTAGCTATTTGTAGCAAAAAAATATCAAATTTTTGCTTTGTTTTGAGTGAGTGTTATTAGAATAGATTGGACACAACTTAAGGAGCTTGAATCTCAGTTTTGGGATGATTTGGTGAAGTTTTGAGGTGGTTTGAATTGAAAATTCGAAGTAAAAGCTGAACATGAAAAAAATGATATGTGTATCACACTGTGTATCATTTGCGTATCACATATGTATCATATTTGTATCAATTGTGTATCACATGTATATCCATGTATACCTGTGCGTGAGATACATGCGTGATACATGTTTGATACATGTGTTGCAGAAGACTTTTTTGAACTCGATTTAATTACGAATTTTGATGCAAAACCAGTCCAAATCACCTCCAATCTTCCTCAAATTTTGTATATTGACTTATCTATATATTTTCAATGAATTTCAACTATACCCATTGAAAAAGTTCCTTTTTTGTTTAAATTTTTGGAATATTGTATAGATTTTTGTATTTCATCACCTTATTTGCTACCTCGTCCATGAAATTTCCTTTCCGTCTTGTATCTAATGTTGCTAATGACACTTAAAAATATGGAAGGTGATTTTTGCATGCGATTCTTTGAGAGAAAGAACCCTATTATTTGGTTTTTCAATTTTTGTTGGCTAGTTTTGGTAAGTCTATGATTAATGGCTAGAGGTTGGTAAGTTGAGATTTATTTGGGACATTTGTGTAAGTTTCCCTTATATTTATCACCATCAAACTTGAGACATTACTTTATAGCTTTGATAGTATTGGTCAGAGAGTCCGGGTGTTCAATTTCGATTATCACTTTTCCATCTCCTTCCCTGATTTCCTTATACAATGGATCGAAAAATAAAGTTTTTATACATCATACGTGAAAGTACAAGAAGGGGTGAATTATCAATTTTTCTTTTTTTTATATTTAAGTAGTTGACTAGTTTACCAAATAGTCGACTAAAAGTAAAGGCAGGATAAAACTAAAGACAGAAGTAAAGTGCATGAATAAAAGACAACTAGAATTTTTATACTGATTCGGATTCAATGTTAATCCTACTCCAGTCCCCTTGGGTTGTAAGGGTGTTCTCTATTCAAAACTCCTTGAATAACTTTGTACAATTGTGTTGATGTTATCTCCGAACACCAACTCACTTTTGGTTCCAAGTACACTCGTAATAATTGTGATACAATGCCTTACCAAAGTTTTTCTCTCTTTCTTCTCTCTACTGATTACACAGTAAACTACACTTAGATTACAATGCTTGTTTAAAGTAGAACAAAGAGCATGAAGTTAGTTTGATCAAAGTATATCATTCTTCCTTAATATTCTGCAATATATACTTTAACTTTGGCTTAACTGATTTCAACAGATAGTTGAGAGATTTGCGAACCCAAGGGAATTGATCCTTGGAGTTGAATCAGTTATGATTCATTCCAAGAATAAGTTCAAAGCTTCCTTAGTTTGAATCTTGATTGCCGGTCTTTCCTTCTTGAAAGAGAATCTCCTCGTGCGAATGGTCCTTAGGTTGTTCCTTGATCTAATGGATTGATAACTTTCCTTTGCAATGCATATCTTCAGTAATCTGAGCAGACACAATTTCAACAACCTAGATCTGCTCAAATCTTGGTCCTTCCTTCTTTATTCTCCGTCATCCGGGTTGTCGTATCTTTTACAAATCTCTTTAATCTTGGACCTTCCTTTCTTGTTTTTGTTGACAGATCTTTGCATTCTTCCCTTCTTTTACTCCTTCCTTTCTTATATTCTTTCGTACATCATTGACAGTCTTCTCGCATCCTCCTTTGCGTCTGGAATGATCATGCAAACAAAGATATATTATTTTTCATTATTGAAATCTAGATCTAACAATCTCCCCTTTTTGATGATGATAAAATAACACATAAAAGCAGTTTACTTCCTTGTTTAAGCGACTATTTTCTTGCTGTAGTTGACTCCTCCTTGATTGAGCTTCACGTGGTAGTTGACTCTCCCTCAACGGGACAGCCTAAAGATGTGTATACTTGCAGTACTAGATACTCGTAGCAGTCGGCTCCCCCTCAACAGGACAGACATAAAAAAATGCGAATACCTGTAAACATAAAGAAGCACTACAAACAGAAATTTTCCAAGCAGACTAAGCAGGAGCACAGAGATAGTCATGCTGGTACAGTGATTGTCCTACCAAAACAGTCAAAGACTGGTGAACCAGCCCAAAACAGCAACAAGAAAACAACACAAAAGAAATATTGTCTTAAACATCCACCCATTCACAAACTAACGACACAGAAAATAAGTAAGAGTATTGCAGATAGCCTCCTTCAGATGATCAAAGCTAGCATTCACTGTAACAGATAACCCATCGATCCTGTCGTGCACTTCCTTGAAAGTTTTGACTGCATTCTCTGCTAACTTTAGAATCTTGGCCCTTATCTTTGATACACCCGACCCTGTCTCCTTTGAGATGTCATGATATCCCCAATGGTTGATTGAGTCGAACAAGAAGATCCTTGATGGTGGTCAGCTTGTTGTTGATAGCAGTCAATTTCTCCACAAGTTCAAGATCACACACACCAGGATGTGAACCAGACGCTCTAGTTTTGGATTCAGTCTGAACAACGTTAATCTCTCCTTTTTGCTTCTTCACCCAAGTACCTTTCGCTCAAACATACCCCATACTGGCAAATGCTCTAGAGTTGTAAGATCTGGTGACAAAGACAAAGGGGTAATTGGAAATAAAGATGTTATGGGCTTCTAGGAGTCATCAACACTTTCAATCATGAAATTTATGACCCAAGAGGATAATTTGACTTAAAGATTGGTCACTCGACAATAAACAAGAAAGGTATCCCATTGAGAAAAGGTGGAGAATGAACCAATGCGAGGGAGAAGGGTTATTGCTACAATGTGTGCGAGGACTCGGGTTTCAAAGCTAACATCACTGGGGCCTAACTAGTTAGAAAGAAAATCATAGGGAGACTCGGCTATGCAACACTCTGCTTGATCGAAGGTAATTTCAAAATCTTCAGGCCAGGTATTTTTGAAAAGCATAGAGAAACTACAACACTTGCACTAAAAAAATGAGTCAAACAGGGCACAATCTAGAATAATGCGCTTCCCTAGAACTAGAGATTCCAACTCATCATGCTTGGGAGAACGGAGATTAGGATAAAACATCCTAACTAGGGGTTCATAGACTTTTGGAGGCGGTAGAGAGAGGAAGTTTGACCACCCTTGGAAATTGAAAAGTTCTTTTACCTTGCAGATGAGGGCTTCTATATCATTCAAATCAGTCTGCCATAAGCTATAGGCTTGTCTTTGAAGGCAATGAAGGTGTCTCTGTTTGGAGTATTCCAGAAGTTGATGTCAGACTCTAAAGAACTAGAGAGGTCTACTTTGGGTTTCTTTGGGGTGAAAGATTCAGGAGTTTCTTCCATGTGTCATTTTTAAAGGGCTTTCTCATTCAGGCTACGTGTATCGTCAGAGAGCTCTACCTGAGAAGAGGCAAAACCTTCAGAATAATATGAACCTAAATCAACTGGTTCTGGGGGCTGAGAGGAATGTTTTGCCCTGGAACGAGTTCTTTTTCGAGTGGAGGCAAAGGGGGTTTTTGGAGTTTTTTTGCCATTGATATGCGTAGGAAGAGGGTTTCTGAGTGATAGAACCGATGAAGGAGGAATAGGAGTGATTGAGAGGGTTAAAAGGAACGGATTTGACGGTTGAGTACAGAAAAGGAAAAGGCGTCAGTGAAAGGACATAATGATTGATTTTCCTTTCTAGAGAGTGTGACTGATGTGAAAAAGGAGGGAAAATGGAGGCGCACAATTAATGACTTCTTACAAACATACAAAAATAGAGAAATAACCATATAAAGAATTAACAAGTAACACATAGGTCCTAATTTTTGGTACTAAGTGAAATAATGCCAACTAATACCCTTAGAACACAGAATCTATCCTCAAGCAAGGGCTTCGTAAAAATATCTACTAATTAATCAATAGTAACAAGCATCAATTCTATATTTCCTTTAAGGACATTGATCTCTAATGAAATTATGCTTAATATCTATATACTTAGCTCTAGAATGATGCACAACGTTCTTTGAAAGACATATAGCACTAGAATTGTCATAAAAAATTGAATAGGTTTAAAAGATAGTTCATAGTCACCTAGTTGATGAGACATCCAGAGTAATTGAGCACAACATTGTCCAATTTCAATATATTCTGCTTTGATTGTGGACAATGCTACTGAACCTTGTTTCTTGTTGTTCCAAGAAATTAATGCTTTTCCCAGTAGTTGATACATTCCACTGGCGCTTTTCATGTCTTCTTTATCCCCTGCAAGATCAGCATCTAAAAAA